TTCACACAAACAAATATGCTGCAGAACTTTCATTCAGCTGGGTAGATTAATAATTTGCTATGCACGTAGCAAATTCCAAGCAGAATTCTCTTGCATCTTCTCATAAAACAGAAATTTTTGGAAAGTTAATGAACACACCTAACAGCATATGAGATTTCAAGAGTACTTCATGGGCAGAAATGACCTCATGTGGACATGTGGCTTCCGGGAAATCTTTTTAAAAAAAAAAAAAAAAAATTCTACTAAAATATTTTCCATGCCAATTTCAGCCAGTTGTTTCCTGTGAGCTGATCTAATCAGATCATGATGGATGGATCAAACTTTGTTATGTGCTGACAACTGGGTCTGTGTCTATCAAAGGGAGAAGGGTTCAGCCTGCACTCTGCCAACCAGCTGGTCTGTAGTCCACTTTCAGTAGTCCTTTTCCTCAAGAACAACTTGGAAGCGGTAGGCTGGAAGTGTAAACAGGATGCTCTCAGACTTCCTCAGGGATCCTTCAACTTCTTCCTTAGAGAAGGGTGAAGCACTGACTGTTGCATTTACCTGGGTAACCGTGAAGATCAGAGTAAGGCGGAATGATAGGCCAATACTACTGAGATTACAGAGTAAAAACCCTTGTCCACTGCATTTAACATCACTCAAACATATATTCTTAAGCCAAATCCCTCGCAGTACAAGCTAGGAAGTGAGAAGCTCTGTCTTGTGTAAGACACTGTGGCAGATACTAACCTGTCCCACTGAAGATAAAGTATAACATACTAGGAGTACCACCAGGAACTCACAAGTAGGAACACACTCAAGGATTAGAGCTGCTTTCCTAAGATACCCCTTCACAACAACAGCGCTAGCCTGTTTATCTGATGCAGATGATACAGAGATTTGGGGGGGGGGGGGGGGGTTGTCCTTAAGCAAGAGTGATAGCTAGCATCACTCCACTTTCAAGCAAAATTCCTGCAAGAGGTAGGTTTTCCAGAGTTAGTGGAACACTTCTAATTGGGGCAAGTTAATAAGCACAATAACATGAATGGAAAGATATGTACAGAAAGTTGTTTTATTATTGAAGCCCTCTGGTGTCCTATTTTAAGAATTGTAGCGCATTAGGCAAGTGACTTAGACGACTTGTGAAAGACCAGGCTGAAAAATTCTTTTATCTTCTGACACGGAGAAAAAGCTCACCCAATCAGAGAAGCCCTCAAGATAAAGTGGGGATGGTCTTTTACAGTTCCCTGTCTTGGTCCCTTACCAGCAATATATAAGGCAGCTTATACTTGTATGCAAACTGTCAATTGCATCTCTGCATAATCTTTCCTGAGGTCAGGAAACCACAATAAAAGACCACAGATGATCTAGATCCAGTACTTATATGTTCTTAATAGGGATCCAGTAGCTCACTGGACGCGGTCGTTCAAACAGTGATATCCTTCAGCTCCACTCCAAAGAAATTCAATATTCCTAAAGTTACTTCACATTCTCAGAATCCGAAGATCAGCAAAGACGTTAGAGAGGGCATGACTCTGGAACAAAGAGGGGAAATTCGAGTACTCGAGAAGACTAGGTCTTTCTTATCTGTTCTCATGGATGGTAAAATTGCAAGAGAAAAGATAATTTCCCAGAAGATGAGCTGGCTCCATAAATTGCACTATTGACTGGAAGAACTACTTTACTAAGATAGGCATAGACAGATAATATTGTGTCCTTGCAAGATCATAAGGATCTTCCAGGTGCAACAGCTTCTTTAAAATCACCTAGGACTGAGAACTTAGGAAACTCACAGTCCAGAGGTATCAGGGTTTACGGTTTTCATGCAGCCTTGGCAAGGAAGGCCATAAACCTAATTTACACCCCAGGTTTTTTGCATGATCCTACTTCTATACCGTAAGTGAAAGGCGTGGAAGAGGAAGCAGCAAGTGGCAAACAGTGGTACACCTTTTAAGCCTTTCCAATTCCAAGAGTCCCTGAGGATGGTACAATTTCACTGACAGGGCTCTAACACTGCAAATCTCTGGAAAACTCAAGGTGTAGTACCAAATCTACTGGAAGATAGCGAAGCAGACCTCCTCAAAAACATATGAAGGTGAATGGACCGTCAAGTGTCCTTTATGTTCAAAGTCACAGAGGCTCTCCCTCACACTCGGGTATTCTGAGCAAGTAAAGCCATACTTTGGCTAACTACAGCCTTCTGAAGGAAATAAAGTAGACACACAGCTTGTGTTCAAAGCCTTGATGATGTTGACAACACACAGCAAATTGTACACATCCTGGGGGAGGTGAGATTCCTGAAGAATATTTGATGCCAATCCCAAATTTAGCAGGGTTTAACACTGACCACGGGCAACAGCACAAGGAAAATTCTAGCTCTAAAACGTCTAACTTGGTTAACAGAAGAAATGAATTAGCTCAGGAGCAAAGGCAGTAAGTCATAATGCAGGACATTTTTCTCCTTTCAAAACTGTTACATACTGGCCAAATGAAAAACATTTGGTGGATGCTTTCACATGATGGGTTAAACTTTGAAAAATATTATAAAATAAAAACACTTTTTCAGAGTTATGGCAGCTGCATGTGAAAAAAGCTCCCAGTACTTACAAAACGATCGCAGGGTTTGCCATTCTTGGCATTAAAAGCCACCTACCAATATTTGCCACCATGCACAAGTATTTTCTCATTGGAAAAAGCTGTTTTCAACAAAAAAGTGGTAAGTGGACAGATGGAACATTAAAGCAAATCACATCAATTCCAATCAACTTACGCAGGATGTGAGAAAAAGCGTATGTGAATTAAACGTGAGCCATTTTCTGCAGTGTTTTTGTTTGTATTATGTCCCAACTACGCAAGATAACCTTACTCATTTTTTCCTTAGAGGTACAGGCATACGTCTTTCCATCAAAAGGAAGCAAAATCTCAAATGCTCAAAACTTTATAACTGTGAGTAAGACTTGGGTTTTTCCCTTTCTATAAAACAGAATGTCTGTGAACACATGTATTTATACCTCTAGATCGCAAGTATTCCATCTTTATCTTTGACACCTCTCCTATAAATTGAGAGCTGCAAAATAAATATATGACATTTCACAACTATATCCACACGAGAATTCACCATTCTTTAGAAGTTTAAAAGAAAGGAATGGGAGCTAGAAAAAAGAAAATAAATTTCGTTTAAAATAAATTCTGCAATAAATATGCCAATAAATATTGCTGTCTGCAGATGTTAACAACTTGATGTATACGCTTCAGTGGCAACAGCCAAGCTTGAATTGCCAAACTTGCAGATTTACTCAGTTTGGTTATGTATGGTTTCTTGATATTGTTTGGTTGCAATTGAGAAGGCCACCATGCACCCTGATGTTACTTAAAAGTCCTGCCATATTCTAGCAGAAAGGGGAGCTCTGACATCTTAAGGTATTCTGGGGCTTAGCATTCTTCTGTTAACTAGGCATGTGAGTTTTGCTAGAGGTACTTCTTCTAAATCTTCCACACTGCCCTTATACAGCCACAATTGTTATTTGAATGCAAATCTTTGTAGAAATGAGCGGGTACGAGTATATTTTGGGTATGATGTTCTGGAAAGTAAGAGATAAGAAATGCACTTTGACTTTTCAGATAAGCTATTAATAAATTCAAGATGCAGGAGGACATTTTACCTCATTAAACATGTTCACCAATGTGCTGTAACTGGGTATTTTTATAGGTCAACATTCTACAGCACTCAAGAAATAATGTATGAGCAAGCGCTATAAACAACTATTTTCTTTGCTTATTATTAGAAGGAATCTTAAATCTGAGGTTGCTGTTATTACAGCCTGATTTTGAAGAGGCCTGGAACTGTCTGATAACAAACTTACATAATCTGACTTCTGAAATACTACACAAATCAATATATGACCTCCAGGGTTTCTAAAAATAGTCATCTCTCCCCTCCCCCCCACCACTGAGGAAGTTTCTTCCATTTAAAATTTTGCTTACCTAATGGAAGCCACACATTAATATTCCACATCGTTGCTGCACATCACCAGAGTGGACATAGACGAGAGAGCCAAACCTGTGCTTTAAGGCTCTTCGTTACAGCATCTTCCTATTCAGGAACTCAATCAACTTTGAGTTTATCTGCAAAAGCGCTTTTTCCCCAATTGCCACATCACGTGAGCAAACACTACAAGGTCAACAATTGTTTCTCTAATTCCTTGCTACAAACACACGCTGAGGAGACCTATGTGCATTTCCAAAATTGATCCTCAGTTACTAAGATGTCCCAGGAGACGGAAGGAGTATGAAGGAGGTGGGCTGCCTCCTCTCTGTCAGAGTAATAAATTTTGTTTAGATGAGACAAGATGTAATTTAAATGAAAAATTCTATCATATCTGCTTACTGAAGGCCAAAAAAAATACTGTGAATTTTATTTTATTTTTTTTTTGCAAGGTCTCTAATTTGTTTTTGAATGAAATCCTGATCATCTTTCAAAATTAGGACAGCACCTAGACAATGTTTTTCAAGTTTTATTCCTTTCACTGTACTACTGCCAGAAAATAATCAGCAAGATACACATAGCACTACAACCTACTTAGCCTGTATTTTCTTCATTTTGATCAGCACCATAACCAGTGTCACAAATTCATGTCTTAAGAATACTATGGTTGAGCACACAGCTCAGTTGTCTTTAGCTTAATGATTTAGTAAACGTAGTGAATCTTATACAAATTAAAAATTTTGGGGAATATAATGTCTCTCTAGAACACTGTATTAACATTTGTAGGTAAACACAAACTCAAGAGCAGCACGCTACTGAAAACAGTAACAGTAAGAATATTAAAATGAAAGAGGCATCTTATAAGAGTTTACAAGACTCAATTAAGAGGCAACTAAAAAAAACAAAAAAAAAATCCCCCAAAACATTATTTTCTCCCATAAGCCCTTTATGAAAAGATTCAAAAAGTGCTTTTAAATAGCTCTACAAACTAGAAACACAACACTGTTGTTCAACAAAGACTTGATACTGCACTTACCAACCGGACTGGTACCAGCTCCATTTGGCACTGAGAGGTCAGTTGTCCCCAGCATTCCACCTAATAATTGAAAAGCCAGATGATTAAACTAACTAGTTTTCATTAAAATTATACGTCATTTCATATTTCAAAACTTTGTGAATTAGAAAAGAATTACACCACTGTAATTTTGTAATATGCTTTTTTAAATGAAAGCACAAAGTGTAAAAAGCAAAAAAAAAGGAGTGTAAAAAGAATGTAAAAAAGGGAAGGCACAACAGCACCGAAACCCTACCTGCATTGCCAGTACTCGGTGGTCTCTGAGGGGCCCCAGGTGACACGTTCCGATGCAGCGTGGTCTGAGGTGGGGAGAGCATGGTCGTGTCCGTTAACGATGAACTGGCAGCCAGCGATGGGGATACAAGGGAGCTCCCTGGGTTACTGTAGGTTAGAGTGTTGGGATTGGACACTGGAACTGTAACCGACATGGAGAAGTTCTGCGCAGGCAAACCAGGCTGGAGGAAAGGGGGCAGAAACACACATAAGAGAGCAATATTAGCGTTTACTATATTTACAGAAACAATACATTATAAAAAATACACTTCACATTTTACAAAGATTTGCTCACGTAAAAGTAAGAGTTAATTATGTTAGTTTTGAAACTCTATTTCATTAGGTATACAATTATAAAACATCTGTTTGTTGTATAGGGTGGTGTTGTCAACTGTTATACTTCATAAACATACAATTTCAGAAAAATTACTCATGAACTTTTGAAATACTGAGATAGAATGCACACAAAACTGAAGATACTCATATTAATTTGCTAATTCAGAAATATAAATTTATCAGTTAATTCAGATTACAAACTAAACATGTTTACAAATCAATAAACCATCACTGCATCTTCAAAATGTAAGCATAAACATGCACATTATAAAACAAATAGATGTAAGACAAAAAGGAAAAGTTAGTAACAGCATTTTCTTTTAATAACTTTGTCAAATTAAAATATTGCTACTATTCTCTAAAACTTTTTCAATAGCCTAAAAAAGTAAATATGTTTTTAGAAATTCATTAGCTTCCGTTACTTGAATTTAACCATTTCAATTGTCATTATTTTGAGCTTTGTTTATACAAAACCCCAGTCGGATAACCACTCCATTTTTTTTGTTTTGTTTTGTTTTTTGCAAATTTCATTTTTTTAAATTATAATTTTTACACCATTACTGAAAAGGCCATTATTTTTCTGAAATACACGTTTGTTACTGAATCAAAAGCTTAGATGCCTGCCTAACTATGGCACTCATTTGGCTATGACTAACTTCTTTGGCCTTTGTCTCATTCCTATCCTTTGACAGTGGTGAACTCTGGAACAAAAGGGACTATTTTCTTTCACGACACTCAGTTACAGAAAACAAAACCATGATAGGTGCAATTTAAGGTTAAAAATATGGTATAATTTATTGACAAAATAAATGACAGTGTCCATATTAAAGTAATTCCAATAATAACTATTGATTCTTGGTACAGACAGAAGCAAGAAGTAGTGAAGTACAGTGACACAATAATAACAAATCATTTACAGTATCTAACCAACGGCAAGTTGCATTGATATTTGCCTTTATGGGAAAACTGCTTCAAGAAACTGTTCGACATCTACAAAAAGCAAGAGTTGTTTTTAAACAACATGCTGTCAAAGTAACCCAAACTAAATTTGAAATACCAGAAGTATGCTTAAAACAATGCATAGAAGCTAGCAGTTGGGACATTTCTTGAAAGATTTCTCACTATACAACCATTAAATGACAGCGTCCCCCTCCACCTTACAATAAAGTTTGCCTGCCCATCTATGGTACTCATTTGGTTATGACTGACTTCTTCATGCTTTGTCTCATTCCTATCCTTTGACAGTAGTGAGTCTACTAGAGCAAAAGAAACATCTTACACAATACCCAGAAGTACTGGAAACAGAACCATAATTTAAACTATACAAATGAAACTACAGAACTAAAACAAAATAACGCTGCCATTCTTATTTGCAGCAATTTCCATACACAGAATTTTGGGTGTTCACAGAGACCACAGAAAAGCAAGGGAGAGAATTTAGATGCATCATATTGAGAGATGAAGCCTGAAGATGGCTTGGCATAAAAACGATGGATATCAAAAGCTTCAAAACAAAGCAGGAATAGAAGATACTAGCTTCATTTAAGTATAAAGAACTTGCTGAAAGAACTGATGCGGGGTGTCAGGACTGTCAGTCTGCTGTTAATTCCCTGGAGATGGTCCTATTGCTCTGAACAACGGAACCAATTCCAGCACCAGGGGGTCATTTGAGGACATACTGTTCCCTTAATTTCAGGGTTTATGCAGATTAACCTACCCAAGTTCATTTTCTTTCCAACTGCTACAAAATTTGTGATGTTAAATAAAATAAACACACACACACACACACCCCACAAAAGAAGATGTCCCCTACTATTTTTATTACAAAATAGCTCCCCCTGTAATATTCAGCATTACTTAGTACTTGCAGATCCCAGTACTCCCAAACTTCTTAGGTTCTAGAACCCAGTAGTTCTCTTCCAAGAGTTCTCCTCCATGAAACCTTATTCCTTTTGCCTCAGAAGCTAATCCAGTCCTCAGCAAAATAAATTCCACTGATCTGATAACAAACTTACTCCAATTCTGTTTGCCCTCTTGTAACATTTTGTAAGATCTTGGATCAACAGATAAACAGTTACAAGATGTAAACAAACCATCGTCCCAAGACACAAGCGACACTGGAAGACAGAATCTATCCCTATAAAAATATTTGAGGCAGGATCAGGCAATGATGCTATGATACTGAGATTGAGAAACATTACATGAGGTGTGAAGAATCTTTGAGCACAAAGGAGAAGCTACAGATGCAACTTCTTTCTTATTCTTTAAGAAAAAATGTGTTTTAACAAAATCAAGTATGCATCTTATTTTTCCCATAGCAATATGTATTGCCTTCTTAAACCATTACACTTTCTCATCTTTACTGTGGTACTCGGTGACAAGCAAACACTGTGAAAATTCTCATGCACATAGTAAAAGCACAAACCATACTTTAGTACTCACTGCGATTTTATGATTCCGCATCATATTATCAAACTCTTCATTAATTTTTTTATATTTTTCTTCTGTATGTGGCGTGAGCACATATGAAGTGTCAGGGTCCGGGCTGTCGCACCCTCTGTGTTCCTTCTTGTTCAGAGCCTAAATAATGAAGTTAATAAAAAGGATCAACAAATAAAAAGTAGAGATAAAATAAAAGTACTTACAGGGCCTCGCTTGAAAATAAAATCACTATCTTCATTTAGTTTGCTGAATCTGTCCTCCGATAGCGGACTGTGCTCAAAGTAATCGTCAGCATCAGGGCTCTCACAACCATTAAGGCCTTTCTTTCTTAAGGTCTGAAATACAATTGGAAAATTCACATACAAATCATCCTAACTTGCCAAGATGTTTCGTACACTACTGAATCATTCAGAGCCACTGAAACTACATGAAACTTTCACAGACAGAACTCACTTTTCAACAGACAAGCTTAGTCTTTCAAAATAGCTGCATGGTGCACCAACAGAAAAGGTTGATTCAGAAGCAGAGCCTCTCCCAGGTGCCATCTCATGGGTAACTTTAATCTATAACCATTTCAACCCCCCGGTGTTCCATTCAAAACTGTTTTTAGACACCGGTTGATGGAATGAAGTTGCCTGACCCACAAAGAATGTTCATACCTATGGCAAAGGAGTTAATGCCAATGCTAGCAATTGAAAGACATCTTCCTGTTTACTATATCTTTAATAAAAATGATATTAGCATCCCAATTTTTATATTCTCATTTTAAAAGAGTGTATAGATAAACTCTGATAAATGCAGTGGCTAAAATTTCCAAGGGAATTTAATAAATGCTATATTACTATGCATAATGCGTAATCTCACAAGTTGACAAAAGCAGGATTTTCCTGCACTTCCATTATTGTCCACGATAACAAGAATTGCATAAAGGTATAAAAATAAGTGACACAATCCTTCTCTAAAATGACTTAGTTGGACAAATATAAACTTTTTCAGACTTTTTTTTTTTTTTTTTTTTTGACTTTGCAACTCCTTTGTTGGGACACTTCCTGTTTTCTGATGGAGCACATCAACACCCCTGGAAAAAAGAAAAAAAACTTGTATACACCTAGGCATTACATTACAAAGTAGTTACTGAAACAAAGGAATTGTATCTGTAGGTCTCATGATTGAATATATTAAAAGACATATTTGTACTTGTTGGTGTTTTTCTTTTTCATCATCTTACACATTCAGAAGTCACTTCGTAAGTTTTCATTTAGAACAAAACAAGATTTGGAAACGCCACCTACAGGAAAATCTTAAGTGTTTAAAAAATGTTTCAAAAGGAAAGCAATATAATTATTAAAAACGTAAATGTTAGCACTACATAGGACAGCGATGGGACCTTGAGAGGCGGTGGGAAGGGGGGGAGGAAGGTTGTGGGTTTTTTCCCCTGTTCTCAGGTTTTCTACGTTCTATCGACTTCACACTAAAAAGCCTTACAGATTTGAAAGCCACAAGCTGACTTTCTGGGAACTGTAAAGAAACTGCACTCAAACAGTCTCATGGACAAGCTTGCACGTGCATGGTTCCATAACACACTGAAACTCTGATCAATAATTAAATAAGGCAAATGAATCTAAGCTTTAGCTTAGACTATGAATATATTCATCAGCTTTTTTCCCCTCTTTTTTAAAAGTGCTGTCTTCTGATTTCAAGTCTAAAAAAAGTACACAAAGCCTTACTTACTGTTAACATATATACACAAAACACTGCCTATTTTTACTTCAGTTTTCAAGCCGCACTCTACAATTCAATTATGCAGTCTGAAATTCTTGAATATCACAGGTCACCAGAAGCTATAATTCCTTCTCGAGTTACTTGGCTTGCTCTGCGTATGCCACACGCTCTCTGGAACTCCCACAAAACCGCAACCACTAAATCAGCGTTTGGGGAAAACAGGTGTAGCTCCCGCCAACACCTGTCGCAGCGCTGAGCCGCCCCGGCGAACCAATCAGCTGGACACGTATATGGACTTGGCCATACAAGGGCCTGCTGCTCGGCCTCTGAAGGTCGCAGGCTGTTATCCCTCCCGGCCCTTCTTCGCAAGTTCAGGCTGCCAGTCTTCTGCACTTTGGTATCAGCAGGGAAAACGTTAACACTGTATAATCTGGATTACACTTAACCCCCGCAGACTTCTGTAAATAGAATCGAAGTACGTCGCGTCTCTACGTGGTGTTCAGCATCAGCATGCACATGCGGTGCCCAAGACAACTTTAGAAGCTGTAATTATATATTATAAAGAAAGATCTTGCAAGAAATATACAGCAGATACACAGGAGACCTTCTGTCTAGACCACCTCCCTCGTTTAAAATGTTAGAGCAATTTTAAGTATTGCAACGTGGGAGCTTCGTTAGCGTCTCTTTCGATATTCTAAAATAATCGACTGAAAACTTCCAAGTGTAATCCTGCCAAAATCACAGATCTGTCTGAATATTATAGTCAAAGTTTCAATATAAGCAACTGATTCAGTTCAATATAAAAATGCATCCTCCTTCTGGGCAATCAGTTGTTTTAATTTTGATAACAACGGGGTTAACTCTGCTTTAACTCATGTGGAAGGAAAAGGCCTCAATATCTCCCATTTAAGAATCTGGAAACCTTCACTCCAGATGGGGTTCCTGTCACCGTGGAAGGACTTAAGCCATGGTTTGCTGTTACAGATAATAAGTCTGGGTTTGATATCCAAAGCTCTGTCTCCTTATCGGTAAAACATGAGCTGTCACTTTGAGGACCTGACCATAAAAAGACTGCCTACTTTATCAGTGCCCAGTAGCATAATAGTAAACCATTTCTGCGCCGTGGCTCGGAGGAACAAGCGGAATGCTGTAATCTGTTGACAAGGGCAGGCGAAGCCTATGAGAGCCAGGCCAGCCTCAGCTTTCTCACAGGCTACAAAGTCAGACATGATAACAGGCTCCTGCTCAGTAAAAAACAAGGAAGGCCGGGACTACTGGGAATCAGGCTGCGGGTATGCAGGAAAGCCAAATTCCATAAACAAGCACTGACTCCACCCTCGCTGTTCTCTATAGTTAAAACTTGTTATTTCTTCAATGAATGTAAATAACTCGCCCTCCCTAAATTCCTTCCAAGATATTATCATGAAGAGTGAAACTTTAGGAACCCTGAAGATTATGTAAATCGGGGGGAGGGGGGGGATGAGAAGCTAGGGAGACTAAATAATATTTTTGTAACACAAAGAGAATATATTTCTGTGCTGTCACATGTAAGCTTGCTTATAGTAAAAGATTTAAGACTCATTTTTTACAGTTGAGGCTAACATACATAAAACAAAAGAGGTTTTTTGTTGGTTTTTTTTTCTTTCTTACTATCACAAGAGGGAAAAAGAACTTGAAATTTAAAGTGTTACAACTGGAAGCTTAATGCTATTATGTTAGGGTGTTAAATCCTATAATCCAGATCATTTAAGGGAATGCATAGCCATTTGAGTTAATCTGTATTATTTTCCACTTCCTTTAAAGACCTGTACAAAATTACTGAAAATTGTTCCAAGACTTGCTTGCCAATGCATTATACTGTGCCTTCAGCACCTGAGATCCTGCAGTTTTGATATGAGACTGGATTAACTAACTGATGAGAGAAAAACATTGATTTTTAACCAGAAAATAATGTATTCCAATTGTTTAAGAGGAGCCAAGGCAGGTAAGAAATCTTAAAAAGAATCAGGTATCTTGCCGAATGGCAGAGCTTAGAAAGCATTGTATGAGAATGGCTAGACTAGCCATGAAAGGTTTAAATATTGTAATTCAGGCACACAGGACAACACCCCGATATTTTCCTGAACTTCCCCCCAGCACTTTATTGTATGCAAAGTACTTTTAAGTTGCACTGTATTTCGTTAGTTTCATTTAGTTATTCCTCTGCAAGACGCATATAAGGAATAGAAGCACCACTAAGTCTATCAAACTCTGATCAGGAATGCTTCTTGCTAAGCGTAAAGAAAATCAGTTTCTCTATACAATTCAATCCAAATGTTACTGAAACTTTTTCCTCTTCAGAACCCACGTTATCAAGGTACAGAGTTATTTATGATGTGATTCACGAGGAAGCAAAGATGATACACTAAGATAATTACACTGTGATGGCTCAGTAAGTCTCCCTCCACAAAATCCAACGGAGAAACACGGAATCCAGCAGCTCTGAGCCCGCTGAATCTCAGCGGCCCTATATCAAACGACGACCTTTTCAAAGTCTCATTCTCCTGGCCCTGCTGCCTGTCACACAAACTTACACTGGCTTCATTATACCAGTCACCGGCATTACTGGCGACCAGAAATTCTGAACGGGTAGCACAGACTACTACTACCAGGGAAGGAGTTAACTGACAACAACTCCTACCATCTCCACGAAACAGCTAGCAGAGCGCCATATAAATTACGTAATATTACAGAAACCAGGATTTCTCATTGCTGGTGTCTGTGTCCAAGTTTGAAATGACACATTCCTAACGTTTTTTAAAAAAAAAAAAAAAAAAAAAAAAGGCAGCATCTTGTCCTGTGTACCGATTCAGTTAAGCGTGGTTAAAAGGCTAAGACTTCTGATATTAGCGATCTGGGCTCATCACCAGCTCTGCTGGCAAAACCATACCGAATTCGGTTATGTTACTTGCCAAGTAAGGAAATAGTCTTTTTCTGCCTTAAAAGGCAAAAGGAGGAGGCCCTCATATATTAGAGAGGGCTATGAAGGGCAGAAACACACCAGCCCATTCAAAAACAGGTTTGACTGCCGAGTTTCTTGTAGTCTCCTAATACTACACAAAAAGGAAATGGCTGTTGTTATCAGTGCTACTATGCAGCACGTTAACGGCTCTGTTTTTGCACTTAACTACTGGAGCTGGCCAAACAGGATTTTTGTTGGTGTTTCATCCCAAATCATGAGGAAAAACATTTCCAAAACTTTACAAAGATTGAAAAATGATTCCCTTTAGAAAACACTACCTTCTCAGATAAAAATAGCAGCTAGTTCGGTTTCTGCTGCTTCAGTCAGAGCATGGAAAAGATGAAGAAGCACAAAGCAGGAGTAACCACTTTCTAAACGCTTATAAGTCTGTAAGTGCAAGTATTCCTTAAGCCTG